CTTCTTCTTCTCCCCTTCTCTTCCGTCCATGGCCGGCGTCCAGGGAGGACTCTGTTCATCCATCACCGTCGATCCTCAGGCTTGATCTCTCGTGACCCCCATAACTCTCTGCTTTCTCCAGCAGCAGCTCCGGGATTCCTCGGGACTCTTCCCAGTTCAGGGAAGTGCTGTGGGAGTTGCTGGGGTGGGGGGAGGCGAGAGGCTTTTGCCCATTCCTGAACATATCTGTACATAATTGTATATATTTTTTTGTATCATTCATTAGTGTTTTAATTAAAGCTGTGCAGTTTAGTTCTCAATCCAGCCAAGTCTCTCTCTTTTTCTCTCTCTCCTTCCCTACCTGGGTTGGGGGGAGGGGGGATCGAGAGCATTGTTGTCGGACCTGAGTCAAACTGTGACACCTGACCACTATATGCACTGTTTAAAAACATACATGATCACATCTTCCTAGCCCTGGGCGATGGAAACCTTCATTCTTTACCCACAACTTCTCTACACTCACAATCATCTATACAGAAAGATGCTTCCCAAGTTACATTTACCACACCATAATCACCCTTGGTGCTCAGAAGGGGAAAGTTCTACTCAGTGACATACCTAATCCTTGCACGTCCTGTCTTTTGCATGCTTCTATAAAACCGTTTCCCCAGAATTAAGGCTGCAGTAATTTTTTCAGAAATATATATGCCTGTGTTCCTAAGTTATGGGATAGCTTCACTGCTTAACATGGCTTTAAAGTCAATTACTTCCCTCAAGAATCCATTTAGAAAGATTAGTCTGTACAGACCAGGTTTGGAGGGGATTTTTTTCTTTGTTTTTTTCAAGTATCACATTTAATATATTTAAGTAATTCCATTTCCATTCCCTGAATAGATTCACAACTGCATTTTTCAGAACTGCTTTAGACATTGCCAAAACAAGAACATTCTGTGTTAGTCTGACCTTTGCCTGCCATTCTCTCTCTCTTGCTTCTGCATTTCTTCGTAGGGCAGAAAGTTCCAAAATCTCCTTATTTAAAAATTTATTCTGGGTCTTGTAACCCTGTAGATTGTCCTGTTGATAAAAAAACAAACAAACAGGATTTTTAATAAAAATATTTTTCAAACAGCAAATGCCTAGCAGAGAAAGTATGACTTCAAATACAGAACAAGCAGCTACTATTAAGATCATACAAAATATGAGGGACGAGAACAGCAACGTGCCTGCTGAGCACCCCAGAGGTCCTGATGCTCAGCATCACCCAGAAGGACACATGAAATACAGTAAGTAGGGGCAAATGCCCCTTGGGCTTTGGTTATCTTTACCAGTCCCCTTTTGAGGTACAAGTTTGAGGTCTGCCTCCATACAAAAACATGAAGCCTTAGCAGTAAGCTTCCCTGCCTAATCCACCCAGCTCCAGGCTACAAATGTCACCTCTGAAACCTGAGGCTGTAGGATGAGGGAATGCTGCTACCCTCCCAACAATTACAATACTCCCTCTCCAAAGCACCTACAAGCTTTGGTCTGCTTTCTGCCAAGACCATTAATTTCTAGTTTCATTTTTATTTTCTAGAACTTCCCAGGTTCACATATAGGTTAAAAAAACCGAACATTTATTCATATTTTAAACCACCTGTAAGCTAAATTTCTTGGAATATTAATCAATTTGGAATACAACTTCTATGCAATGGCAAAAAAGTAGGTTTAGAGCAAATTGGATAACTTCAGTAACTCTATTAAGAACTTGTCACATATTCACTGAGGTAAGTTAGAAGGATAAAAAAAAGCCTTGATAACACCTGGAGCAGCATTAGTAAAACTAGTTCTTGAACTCATCCTCCTTTTTTCTCTTTGGATCTCCCCTTTGCTATTTCACATGCACTTTTTTTCCCCCCACTTTTGATACTTAAAAAAATTACATAAAAAGAGAAAGCTTCCTGGTTGTTTTCCTCCATGCTTATATTTTACTCTTGCCCTTACTCCTACTCCTGCTTTTTCCTGTTCCTTTACTTCTCACATCACTCCCCCTCCACACCTATATCTGAATTACTGAAAGTATAGGACACTGTACCACAGATGTACAGACCAGTTCCAAGCATAGAATTCCTGTTTAGATTGTCACATAACAGTTTTAAGTATGGAATCCAAGCAGAGAAAGCCTCAGCTGATTAGTACCTTGGAGAATTCTTGTAGTGACCTCCTCAAACAGTGTATCAAACTAGAAAGTTATTCTAGGGAGCAGAGATTCCCCTATCCACCAAGACAGAGACACATGGCTCTTACTTTTAGTCTGTCCAGTTCCTGTAGTTCCTTATTAGTGCAGGTGGTCCCAGAAAGACTTACTGCTCCACTCTGAGAGGATGTATTGTCCTCACATTCGCTGAGTTGACGAGAGAGTTTCATGATCACTTCATCTTTAGCTTGAATAGTTTCCATCAGCATTCCCAGCCGCTCGTTCAGTTCTCCAACTTTACACTTCAGATTCTTCACTTCCTGCTGGAGACTGTCTTTTTCCAGACTTAACTTTTCAAGCTGGTTGTTGAGACCCAAAATCTGGTCATCTTTTTGGTGCAACAGCTCCAATTTGTCTTTGGGAACCCCCTCACAAAGACGTCTTGCAAAGTATTTATCGTACTGGGAAGATCGGACCGTTTGCTGCAGAAGCCGCACGAGCTCCTGAGGGTTTGAAAATAGAAAGATTGTCATGAGGTTTAGAGCTTCTAAGTTTTATAACTTGGAAATCTAACATCAAGCAAAAGAAAGCTTTGGAATGGGTTTTGCATCTGAATCATCAGCTCATAATAAGCTTCATGGTGGTATTTTAAGGAAAAAAAGGAAACAAATGATGCAATTATTTGGCTTAGGGCAAAAAAATTAAGAGGTGAACCCAACAGAAAAGGGAAAGATAAGTACTTGCTCTCTTCTCTACCAGATGCAGAGAAAATAAAAGGAGAACAAAAATACATGCTGTTTTGCTGGAAAGGAAGTCTTTGGAGGACTCTTTTGAATATGTTGCCACAGAACTAGCCAAGTAATTAACTAACTCACCACAGGGGAGAAAAGGAGTTCCTGTGGTTTCTGCAGAACAGACACCATCGAATGCTCTGAACTAGAACTTCCTTTTGAAAACACATTCCATTAAAAATTCTACCATTTCCATCTTCCATATCCTCACATGAAAAAAGGACAAGTATCTTTGCTCATGGGATTGCATAGAACCTGGGCAATTACAAGTCATTCACTTGCATGGAAGACATGAGTTGGGAAATTATGGGTGCACACACATAAGAGGACCTGACTTTTAAGGTAGTCATACTGAAAGTAAAACCCACTTGATTCCCTGATGGAAGATCTTCCTATGATACTGAAGAAGTGAAGGCTGTTACATGCAAATAAGTCAAAGTTAAAAAGAGAATAAATACTATAAAAGGAAGAGTTTGCCTTAGATGTACCAGAAGCTCTCCAAAAGCTAAGATGTAAAACAAAACAAAAACAACTAAAACAACAACAACAAAAAAAAAGCAAACACAAAACAAACAAATCCAAAACTCAAAACCAAAAAAACAAGACAAAACCCTCACACAAGAAGGCAAGAAGATACTCCTGATCAACAAAAACAGTAAGAAACCAAGACCAGCAGACTGCTCACTTACAAACCTCACTAATCTGGATTATTACCTTTGCTGTTCCCCATGTCTGGTTAATGGTTTAACCCTGTGGAACTGTGGCAAAGTTAAGTTCAACCACAGAAGCATTTGCAACACTTACCAATGAAACTGGGATTTTGTTTTTCTTTTAATTTTTCAAATACTTCTCGGAGACCAATTTAAGAAGATGAGGAGAGAAATAGGAATTGGGTTTACAGAATTCCAAGAACTGGAATGTTGACTAATGTATCTGGATGTTTACAAAAACTTTAAAGATCATAAAGACACCTGGAATGAGCCACAGATCTTGAGAAATTCTTTTAGCTAGAACCAAGGTATTTAATAAAACTGAGTTGCAAGGGCATACAAGTGAGCGGGCACTGCCCCATACACAGCTGACGACAGATGTAAAATTTGGTCCTTCTTGTTTCAAGTCTTTTTGTACACAAAGGTTCATTCAACATGTTATTCTTTAACAACCAACCAGCTCTTCATGCAGTTAGATGGCCAGAAAAGGTAAAATCACAATCACCTGCCAGATCCACTTGCTTTTGTGCACTTAGCCTGAAGGTCTGCTTACCTTTTGGCTCAGAAGATCTTTCTTTAGCTTTTCCAGCTCTTCTTGCTGACTTTAATTGAAAAGCAATTGAAATCTTGTTCTAAAAACATTAGCTTTCTCACAAAAATGGGATTTCTGCGATCAGACAGGAGGGGGAGCTGCCCCATACACAGCTGTCGACAGAGATGTAAAATTTGGTCCTTCTTGTTTCAAGTCTTTTTGTACACAAAAGTTCATTCAACATGTTATTCTTTAACAACCAACCAGCTCTTCATGCAGTTAGATGGCCAGAAAAGGTAAAATCACAATCACCTGCCAGATCCACTTGCTTTTGTGCACTTAGCCTGAAGGTCTGCTTACCTTTTGGCTCAGAAGATCTTTCTTTAGCTTTTCCAGCTCTTCTTGCTGACTTTGGTACTTCATCTGCAGTTCAGAGACTAGTTTGTTGCCATTACCAGAACACCACTCTGTTGGAGAAGAGTCGCTGCTGTTCCTGTTTTTGCTTGATCCAATCATGTCCTTTAATGGGCGCCTTGTTTTGTGTGGAATGCGGCCAAAATCGAATGGAAAAGCTGAACTAGTCAGCCCTGCATAAGACAATTTCTTCTAGTTCAGTTCACTTTGTAAAAAGGCTTTTCAAAGCATTCATATTTTCTTTTAAATTATGGTCATTAAAATTAAGACTCCAAGCAGCTTTTACACAGCCCAATACAAAAGTGTTAAACAGGTCTTATTTTCCAGGTTGCTTCCTTTGGTGGGAAAAATATAGAGCCCAAACATTTCTTCCCTCCCAAATAAAAGATTTAGCTCATAAATTAATACTTGTGAAATTAGACATGAGCTTTACAGAAAATAAAAGGTACCCCCCTAACTATGCCAAAGTAAACTTTACTTCAAATAATTAACAGCTCAGAAGTGATGAGAAAAAAATGTCACTGATATTACAGCATACTGTTTTTTTAAGAAGCACTCAGTGTAAAGTCTCACCCCTGTTTAAATAACCTTCTTAGAGAGAAGGATGTTTTCTAACAAATAAAATCATCTGGATGTCTGCTGAAGTGCATTTAGGGAGCTGTAAAATGTCTTAAGAAGGTTATTTCAGACACTATTCAGATGTGAAAACCAGTTACAATGCAGAGATGAGCTATCACTGCCTATGCATCTCTGCTTTTCACCCCATTTCAGAAGCAAGACAATATAAAAGGTATATACATCCCTTAGAGTCTAAAGGCAATTCTGGTCCAATGGGAGATATTCAACTGAGTAATCAAAAGCCTGCGCATTTCCCTTCGTCCTCTAACTTCACAACTCAAGTGATGGTACTAGAGATGGTAAGGTCAAGGGAACCTGAAGCAGCAATTACAAAGGTTCAGACTTATTCCAGTCTATCTGAATGACAGGGGACGCCAAACATATCACAAGGAAGTAACTTTTTAAAAAACATTTACAGAGCTCTGGATGTGGTTTGTAAAGAAAAGATAAAACTTCCACACATTTCCTGCAGACAGACCTAACACAGCATGCTATAGAAACGAAGCCAAGGCACATGTCCCCCTTCCTTCCTCATACCTTTACTTCCTTCTGCCAGGTGTTTCCTCTTCTCTTCCAGGGCCATAGAGTCCTCCAAGTCTTTTGGTGTTGGATCCAGCAATTCCCACTCTTCAGTGGTATAAAATATGCTCTTGCGGTTTTCGTTATTTCCTTTCCTTAAAGAGGACATTGAATTCCTGTGACAAAAACAGCAGCAAAAGTGACAAAGATTTCTTCATTTTGCATTCTTTTCAGAAAGGGGTTTTGCAGACAACCAACCACTGCAGCTTAAACAGTACAAACTAGGATAAAACACAGCCAAAACCAATACCAAATAAAAGGTGGAAATACGTAAAGCATATCCTGCTAAATAGCACCTGCTATCCACAGTGCTGTGTTTCAAGAACTGAATAATTATTTCAGTTCAACAGGGTATTAGTATCTAGGAGATGATTACAGCCTTTGAGTCTCTCTGTTTTGGTAGCAGGGACAAACCATGAACAAAATTAAGATTTAGAAGCAGCATGTCTTTATTGATCAATTATTGTAGCTTAGAGTTTTAGGGTAACTGCAAAGCACTCAAGAGAACAGCATGCAGTCAAAAGCCATGTTATAGTGTCATAGTCTGGATTAATGTCACACTTGGCATCATCCAAGAGACCTGCTGTAGCTGAACTGCTGATGACAGACTCCTTAAGTTTCCCTTTCCCAAGACGGAACATGGCCAATTATCTGCAAGAACATTTCAGAGGCAACCTCTAAATTCCAACCAGATGATTCTAAAGAAGAACAATACATTTCATGAGCAGGATGAGATTATCCTACCCAGCTTCAGCCACTACCATCATGTGATCAGAAATGGTTAAGTCTACAAGTATTAATGTTGCTCAGTATTGTAAAGTCTTTGTTTAACCAGAGAAGGAAATTCTGCATCAATCCATAGGAATCAATTTAATATTTTAGGTATAAAGTTGGAAATATATTTAGTATCTCAGCATTTTTCTACACAGTCTGTGTATAATGGAGGCCCACAAAAACTCTTCCACTCAGCCACATTCTCTCTTACTCTCTCCTGACAAAGACACCATTTCCCACTGGGATCAGCTTGCAGGGGGAACACCTGCTTTAACTTTTGGAACACATGGGAAGCACCAGAGCACTCCA